GAAAATTCTAGCGGTCGGTAGCTCTGATAGATTGTTTCCCGTGGTTTCTCTGATCAACACCAGGCGAATGCCGGAGCAGCGCGGGGCACGGACCGCTCGCGATATTTCCTTCCCCTTCTTTGTCCTTTCCTTATCTCCTTACTTACTTTCACATATACTACACTACCATACATGTCGGGAGACCGGTCGGGAGCTCAGATCCCGGCTGGGGCGGCGCCATGCTTATGAGAGGTACGTGGTTGGGGAAAATCTCTGCACGTCGACGGTCGGATCTTGCCATCCAGCGCGGGACGATCACCGCCACATCGTGCGGTTGTTTATAGCATGCACTTCTTCCGAGACTAATAAACTTAGTAGTTAACGCGCCCGGAATCACTCACCAATCAATCAAAAATCAAAATTCAGAATACGAAAGAAGTTCTTATTGCGTAACGCAGAACGTAAACGGCAAATATTTCATGGCGGGCGGACTCTTCCTTGGCGTCTTATCGTAAGACAGCTGTATCATAAGCAGTGACGTACCGAGTATGAGAATGTCGCTATGGGTAATATGAAAATAGGCGCAATAACACCATAAAATATTCCATTTTTTAGACACTGGATTTTTTTGATTTTTTTAAAGATCCTGGACATCTAAGCCGCAGATCTATAATTCCTTCTCATATCCCGGAAGATGCACAGTTTTTTGTCAATGACTGTGCGAATCGGAACTTACTATAAATATATTTATTATTGTTCATTTTTTTATCAAATCTGGGACTAAAATTTTGTAGCAAACGACGGCCAAGCTGGGAGAGAAAGTGCAGGTACTCGAGCATTGCACCCAGTCATTCATCAACCCCGCTCAACATGCGCTTTGTTTGTGTAGATGTCTTGAACAAATTAGAAAAGTTTTTTTATTACGACACGCACATGTGTGAGACGTCATCCAATGATCACCTATCAGAGGTTTCTATTGCTGCTCCCTGCACAGTAATATACATTGTTCACTAGGTGATTTCCCGTTGTTGACCGGTTATTTATTTATCATAATCATCAAACAGCTCCATCTTCCCCGTCAACAGCGCCCGCCCCGTCACCTACCCCACTCGAATATTTTACCACGCTACTATACAAGGCCCTGCTACTCTATTTCCCACCAGCCAATCAAAGCACGCCTGACTGGACACTGGGAGCTCTTGTCGTGTTGCTCATAATATCTTTTCGACAAGTAAATTATACCGTGATGTGTGTAATGAAGATTTCTCTTTCCCCAACCACATTCACATGTATGGCTATATCCTGTTTTCTGGTTCATTTCTTCGTTAGGGATATTTGTTCCAGTTACGGTTATAGTGATTAATCAGCGATAATGTATAATCACTAGTCATTACGTATAATTACCATATCAGCTAATCAAATTAATTCACCATTTTGTCCAGTCATTACTCATAATAGCTAGTGTGATTTGTCTTAAGTAATTATTCTCTTCAAAAATAAACTCTTGGTCTAGCCATTAAACGTCATAGATAATATGACTTGGTCACAACAATTCTCTTGTTTGTGAGTGAGAAACGTGAAGCAAGTCGCGCCGAGGAACTAGACGTTGATCGGAGCTATCGGTTACGACGGCAGCGCAAACGGCAAACTACCCGTAAGCGGAACGTAGATAGAACAGACTGGCGTCTTAAGGTCTGTCACACGATCGTTCTCTTGACGCTCGTTAAGTAACGCGCGTCGTCGATTAACACTGCATCTTACTGAAAACGGCACACGAGCGCTCTTGGACGTTCCGTATACAACGCGCGTCAACGCAACGCTCGTCTGACACATCCCCGACCTGACACTTTGAGGGCGCAGATGACGCTTCGCTACGCGAGAACATATTGATGAAGAGTCTTCGGCCTACGCGATTAACATAAACAACTTTGAGTCTGCCCTATGCGGCATCAGCCTGTACTATTCAATTCAACAGTTTATCAACATTACTGTGCGAACAAGGATTTCTATTATTGGCTCACACATAGTAGCGTCCAAGAAGGGAAAGCTGCGGCAACTTGTATCAGGTACCGAATTAATTGGAGCCCTGAGATGCTTTTCGTTTAAAACCTGTAAAAAGTATTTACTTATAACTCAAATTTACCGCTACGAGATATTTCTTGCAGAGAGAGAGAGAGAGAGAGAGAGAAAGCGAGAGAGAGCGAGAGAGAGCGAGCGAAAGAGCGTGAGCGAGAGAGAGAGAGAGAGCGAGAGCGAGAGAGAGATATTCTATTTACGTTTAGGGGGGAGGAAACGTTTGTTTGAAATAATGGGTGTAAATGTGCTGTATACCTCTACGCGCGCGCGCACACACACACACATACTCACGAAATGTCTGACTCTTCTGTAAGAAGAATTGCTGACGTTTTTTCTGCACTATCAACCTTTTTTGAAATGTAAATAAGCCGACATTCCCCATTAAATTAAAAAAAATACAAAAATTGACAACCTTTTAAGTTCATTAGTTTGTGTGATGTTAGTGACAGTAAGTTTAGTAAGTTCACATTTCCTTTATTAGACTATTTTCGTGGCACCCTGCACACCGCATTGCCACGGTACATCTTTTGAAAACGTGAAATTTAACTTGATATTTTCCTCGAGATATATTTTTATTCCAGATCACGTCGTTGTTTGGAATCAACTCTGCTGTAGATTTAAACTCTAATCTCAGTTTTCTTTGTATTTGAAAATTATATTGGTATGAGTTCATTGAAATGCAGTCGGAAGTCTTTAATCTGCATACTGTAGAAGTGTGTCTTAAAACATAAGCCGAAATTCGACAAACGAATTTTAAAAATATGCTATGGGTAGGGTAGGTTGGATTAGGAGAGGTCGTATAAAACCTATTCAGCACCAAATATTGAATCATTTAACATAAAATGATTTCAAAATCAATATGAAAATAAACTACCACGGGACTTGGGTAGTTAATTCACATCATGGTGGTAAGAAATTGTCTAACATTTTTTGTTGAAAAGTAAGCTTATTTCTAACTTGTTGAGTCGCCAACAACACAATGACAGAGTAGTGAAGGCCAAGAAAAAACATTTTTGTGATATATTATGAACTGATGTAAGTTTTTTCTTAAAGTATCCAATTGGTATTATAGCAACGTTATGATAGTTATGCTGATTGCGAGACAAACGTAAAACAAGTACATCCACCAAGATTTCCGTATTTTGAAAAACTTTCAATTTTGATGTATCAACAATAATCATATCCTTATTACAATTAATCTGTATTTTTGCAGCTATATCACTCAGCTTTTTTGTCGCACTTTGTATACAACAATTATACTAATACACACACATGTATTGCATGATTTTAGAGATGTACGGAGCATGATGGAACATGTCCATGGCCTGTAGAATGATGTACATAATGTGGTAAATTTCGAAATGCATAACGCTCAGAAAATAATACTAGTACAATGTAGTATGTTGTACGGGTTTCGGCCTAGGACAGTACTTGTTGGGAAACAGTGGATCCCAAGGCTTTTTATTGATTACGCTTGATTTATGAAAGCTGTTGCGATAGAGCCACATTATTCTCTGAATTTTGACTAATTGTTTTATATCCGAGGTGAGTATAATTTCTATTCGTGCCAGTGGGCGATAATTTTACTGGTACCGAGGACCCCATCGCTCAGGAAAATTATTCCCAGGACAGCTGATAATGCCTCGGAAGACTCAATTCATTTCTATGTACTTTTGTGAGGGATTTTCCAGTTTGTTCTTATATCGAAACTATTAAGAATACTGCATGATATTATATAAATCAGGACATGAATATTAAAGAGTTCGCAAAGGGGGAAAAAAGTGAAATCATGCTCGTCAGATAGACAGTTAACAATATCAAAGTGCCCGCAGTGTTAATGTTTGTATTGCTTGCAAATAAAATCGCGTTAGACTAACCTTTAATCAGAGAATATTACATATAAATTATATTCCTTTATTTAAAAGTTTTGAAGAGAAAGTGTATTGAATTTTAGCTACATAAATTATTGTCAAGCAAAAATTCTTAGGTTGTCGGAATGACAAATTAAATGGGATTACCACAACCCTGCGGAAGTTCGTGACATGAATGCAAGTTTCTCCACATTCACTTACCAAACAAGCTCGACAAAAAAAAAAAAAAAGTTTTGTTAAAAGATTGTTAAAAAAATCGCTTAATGAATCGAGTATTCAGACTACGTTAAGTACTTAAACATAGAATAAACATTTCTACAACTACATCTAGATTCAAATATCAATTCTAGGTCGATTATGTTTTTGTAAATGTTTTTGCGTTTCTTCGTAAGCAATAAGACAATACATACAATACATACAATACATACATACATACAATAGACAAGACACTAATTCTGTCAATTTTCAACGTCTTTCTATAAAAAAAATTGAACTTATTATTGGTACACATTTTCTTTATGTTCTAAAATCCCTTTTCCTTCTCTCTTACTCTGTGTAGTTGTATTATGAATATTTTTAAACGAGTTATAGATTTGATTTTGTAATACTATCGTGGAGTAACTAAATCCTCTACTCCTCTTGTATAAGAGCTCACGAAAGTACACAGAGAACAGCAATGGACACGCCACAAAATGCTTCATACTTAGAAAAGATATTTATAAAATTTTCTCCTGTTTCCTTACGAAATATATTTTATGCAATTTCGAAATATGATAATAAAGAACTTCACGAACTTCTGCTTCGAAGATGTACGGCGACGCAGATGTAGAAATACCAAGTTAAAATTAAAATAGAAAATATTTGGTGAAAGGGATTGCAACACTTCCATCTTTCCGCCAGCTAAGGACAATTCCATTGGTAGCATTTGAATACGACTGACCAATGAACTGAGATAGCGTTATGTCTAAAGAAACACCACTTAAATCTTCCTTCCACCGTATTTTTTCGCAGGTTTTATCTATATTATTTGCAATTATTTACAAAACAAATATTATTTACTGTTTCTTTTTAAGGGTGTTTCGTTTTAACGTAATTCTATCAGTTCCGTTGCACGATTTGCAATTTCGCTTCGAGAACTTCAATTTCGCTTGTTCCGCCCACCGAGCTGCGGTGGCGCCGGTGGCGGCAAACGCCGAAATTAGAAAACGGCGCGAGGTGGGTTCGCGAGGCGAGGGTAGTGGTGCTCGTTCACGTGATTGACTCAGTTGTGTGCCGCCTGCCGCGCGCTGCACTCTGAGGTCTACCCTGAGTTCCAGGTTGGGCATAGCGGAAGAGAAGACTTGAATGGACTTGCTGAGCGCGGCCAAGCACGTGTGAGGGAAATGGATGTAGCTGGTGGCAACTTCGACACACGACTTTCTTCATTGACGTTTCCTAACATGCTCAACAATATTTCTGGATCACTCTGGTCGACGTAAGTATTTCATAGAATTGTTATTTCGTCCTTGAATTTGCAATCCGAAACAAGTCTTCATTGAAGATTACAAAATGAAGGTGGTTTCTGATTTTAATACATACTTGTCAATTTGTCAAATATTCATAAGCAGATAGGAAGCGTGCATTTGCATTTAACTCCATGTAAGTTGGTGTATTTCAACAAGTAGCATAGTGTTGACAATACTGTCATTGTTGACTGGCGTTGAAAGAATTCTCTAGATCCTTATCGCATGCATGATATTCGAACACATTCATTTCTAAAACGGTTGTTTTAATTCGTTAAGCACTTTGAAGAAACCAATGTAGCGATGTGGGATAAACAGCACACGAACTAAGCTGTCAATTGACAACTTTGTATTAATGTGAAGTTTGGAAAGTGTTGGTCTTTCTTCACTAAACAAGTGGTCGGTACTTACCATTCATTGTGGGTTGAAAGTGGGTGTGTTCCAACGCTCTTGATTCGAAAAGAGCATCCACATTATTAAAGTCCTGTCCAAACGTAACACGATAGGAATTGATAAAATTTATCTGAGTTTTCAGTTCTAGGTATTGCGTGATGTCAGTTTTGTAAAATAATCCAGCAATGTGTGTGCAAAAACCTGGTCCATTTTAAACTACAGTGGACACATTCAAAACCTGTGTAAATGTCTAACGCGCACATTGCAGTAAGAACTTTAACTGCGCCATGTAATACGATCCGTTTTCACCGGAATAGCTTCGAGGAAATGCATTTCACTATCTTTTAAAGGCACTTTTTTGAAATCTTAACGAAATTGCGCACGTGTCACAAGTTTCACTCTTATGGCAAACGTCAGCGAGTTTTGAAGGCCATCATTTATACGAGGGAGGGCGAAAAGTGATGATAATCGGTTAATGTACTTCAAAGTTAGATATTTCATTGTAATTTTCTTTAATTATTGAGACTTGCGTGCTCCATACATTCAGAATTTGTGACAAGCTGGGGAAGATCAGAAAAATCCTGCCTTGAATTAAATTATGAACAAATCCACGTTGTTTTTTCCCCATTATGTGCCGAGGCAAATGTATATAACAAGTTACGTAAACTTCTTTCGAAAAATGACTGGATACCATTTGTACTTGTGTAGATGTTTCGTAAGAGTTGTCAAGTGGCAACGTACCGTCGGCATTCGTTCCCATAAATGTTCATAAGCGGTTATAAGAATTATTAGAAAGTTGAAAAAGCCACAATATGTAAATTTGTGTCTGAAGATTAGAGACCCTATTGAAAATTAAACGACTTGGCTAATTTCAATCAGCATGGCGTAAGTAATATCTCGGTCGGGTAGCAGTTCTTGTGACGCATTGTTTAGTGGAGAGAGTAGTTTTTTTCCGTGTTGTGTGCTGGGATGAATTATACTTCTGGCGCATCAATTATCTGACAAGTATGCGAGGTTTTTGATACGGTGGCGTAATCAGTCGTCTGCAGACTGGTACCTTTCGACAGATCACCCAGAGTTCAACGAAACCATCAGCTATTGGAATCATTACGATGACTTTAAGAAAAGGTTGATTCGGGTTGAAATTTCGGATTCACGTTCTAATATAAGGGGATGATTTATTCGAAGAGCATTGCCCAACCGAAATTGGATGTTAAGACTGAGTTCAGATTGCGTTCGTTGCCCACCTGTTGGTTGTCATGGAATGTACGCGGAAGTTATGACTAGCGACTTACAGGGTTTATTTTTATAGGTTCAATAAAATGGAAGGTTTTTCCTGATAACCACCCGAATATAAAAAAAATATACGGTGTCTACTCGAAACAGTATTGCGCAATTAAATATTTCTTTTAATATGGTGAATTGTAATACTGTAGAATTTTATAGATTTCATGTCAAGAACTTGATTTGTCGGTGAATAGCTAAATTTTCTGTATAGAAACAAGTCGTGCAGTATTCGCTATCACTGTTGGGAGTAAATAAATATTTCAAGAGTACGTAATATTGTATTGAGCTGTCAAACGTATAATGGTAGATTATCGATTATGAACCTGAAAATTCTTGTCATCTTAGCACTAGAAATCTCTTGCAGATCTTAGAGCTGCGTCAAACCACAGAAGTGGTGAAGAGTTGTTCCAAGAGCCAATCTTTCGGTACTCGCTCTAACCTTGGTGTGTCTATCTTTTAAGGCTTATTAAAATGAACCAATGTTCATCAATGAAACTAGAGGAGTTTATTTTGGCATGTGCTAAAACAATCGAGCAACAAGGTAGCATCGCTGCATAAAACATTTTCTTCCGACGAGTAATGTCTCAGCGCTAAAGAATTTCAATCTATTCTGATCAAACGTACCCTTATAAAGTAAAACATCGGAATGTTTTAAGAGGAAAAATTGTGATAAAATAAAAAAACTTATTTATTATAATAATAGCCTACAGATAATTACATAAAATAATACATCAGTGAGCTAGCAAATTCATCATTATAAATTATCACCTTTCAATTATCCCTCGTTTCCTTACCATCCACTTTACCGCTTTTCTAAACTTTTCAATATCAATACTGAATTTCTTCCAACCATTCTTTTAAAACGTGTTACAATGTACTTTAAAATTCATTTTTAAATTGATGGGCAATTTTTGACTTTATCGAGAGGACGGTATGAGAAAACGTTGAAAGCAGCTCGAGTGTGGCAGAAGGGCCTTGAGAAATCTAAATTCCTTACCGAAAGAATGATCTAAAAGTACTGCCCGTGGCCAATGAAGATCTCTTCCATAAGTTGAACTGCCTCTGGGTCAAGATATTTAAATGTAAATGAACCTGGTAATATATTTGCAATCAGAAGAATCATTGAATACCCATAGTATAAAAGGGGAAATCAACCATATTTTTTGTATTTAGCATGGCGTAAAAACCGTATCTGTACAGGTGTTTAAATCGTGTATTAGGCTTACCGATGTTAATACCACTCAGCGAATTACTGAAAACTGTTGCCGTTAATTGAATACAAGTTTTCTTTGGAGGTCTAGGTCAAATGATAGTGACGACAAAAAAGGCGCGCTCGAGTTTCTAAGGAAGAACAGCACAACATATAGGTCTCTTAATTTTGTTTGTTCAAAAATGTTTTGGGTAAGTTTTAGTTCATGACTAAACGGTTTTCCTACTCAGTGCCCATTTAATTTAGAATATGCGACTTAATGAGCCAACGCTTGGCCGTGAGCTTTGAGTCGAGAGAGAAAATTTTAATGTTTAATCCTGTACAGTCGATAAAGTACTATTAAATCTGAATATGGAGTCGGGGTTTGGAGATAGATTTGTAAAACTTGGGTTAATGCATTCCATTTGTGATAGAAGTTAGTCGTAAGAGAAGTTAGTTTGATATTAGGTTACTTTAAAGATCAGGTTTCAGCTATTTGTACTATATAGTTGTTAGGTAACCTGTCTGCACGGCAGCCACTTTTGTATTCAATGTATAAGGAAACTCGTCGTTTGACAAGTTACTGAATGTTTAGTGTTAAAAAGAAGTCGGATTAAAACATCGTAACTATTAAACGAATCGCTGAACTTATTGAAGTCGTATGGTGTGTAAAGTTGTAAAAAGAAAAGAAAAATGAAGGAATAATTAAATTAAAACCTTTTGCAATTGTGGGAAAATTGTTGCAAAACTTTGTCTAATATATAAAACAATGCAAAATATGAACGAATTGCCCCTATATTCCTTTTTCATTAGGGGTAATGTTTACGAAAATAACCAATAAGTCTACATGAAGTGCTATAATGAATTCATTCTGTGTGTCGTGGATAATTGATATAATTAGATGCTATTACTACTCTTGAAGCCTTGGGTGTTCTTGGTCATCGTAAGACTGCTCAATTTAATGTAAATTTAAAGATCATTTTGGTAAACTGTTGACCCCGAAGTTCTTGCTTTTCTCAAGATTCGTTGAACAACTTCAACGAATTCGTTATTTTTAAAGCAATAATAATATTATTATAAAAATAGTCGGCACCGTGACGCAAACGGTTGCGGCAGCCGTTGTCTGTGCCGATGAAGCTGTAGGTTAATCCTGCATAGACATGGTCGTATTTGTGATTGTCCCTTCACCAATCATCTTATCGTCTCATAATTCACACTTCAAGGCGTAACAACCTTGTCATAGAGGGATACAGCTGAAAAGGTGGATCTGGAAAATTACATACGGTATCATGTTGTGTAGTCAGCAATGGTCTAGACGCGAATTATAATAGTAATAGTAAAAATAATTGTAACTAAAAGCCGGCCTTTCGAATGATGCAGCCGGCATGTTCGTCGTACTGTAAGGACCCCCTAACAAAACTTATTTTTCTGAAGTTGCTGAATGTGCCCAATCTACTCGTGGAATCCACCGCACATTAAATAAATGTCGTTTGCCAGTCTCTTCTCGCTTCTGCTTTCGCACTTCTGCTTGTGGGAGCTGCTGTCTCTGTGGGCGTTGACTCAAGGGCATGTTATGCGTCGGAAGCCGCGTAGACAATCGGCCTGCTCCCTAAGGTAATGCACTCTTACACTTACTTTTTTTATATCGTGGCTGATGACATTAGGTCGTTGGTACAATTCCTGCCTTACAAAGCGAATATTTTAAATTAATTCGCGAACGTCCTCAACGGGACTCGTGGCCTCATAAATGTGATCACTTCTGTTTAAGAAGAGTTTTGTAAGGCAGAAGGTGAACCAATCACCTAATGCCATCGGCCACTATAGAAAAATCGAAATGTCAGCGGTGACCTTGGCGAACTTAGGAAGTGCATAGTGCCCGTATTAAAGGACAAATTTGTTTAAAAAATTGATTGTAAGCTTTTTCGTATATTATGCTGCATCTACCGGTGACCTCGTAAAATTTAGTGTGGGACATTATTAATTAGCATAAAGTATTTATTCATAGAATTCCATTGTAATTTGAACAAGAAGCGATTGAGTTCCATCTAGACTGTGAAAAAAAAGGGAGGGGGGGTAAGGCTTCTGTGGTTTACATGGGTCTTG